ATTAAGGTCATGCATTTTAAGGCCTTTTTATTGCCGGGCATATAGAGCAGCTGTCAATCATCCCGTAAAAAAGTGATGCGCCAGTGCTCTCCCTTTCTTTCTGTTCTTTCTTCACTTCTGTCTGTTTCTGATTCTCGCTTTCTTTCTTTCTTTTTTTCTCTCCCTTTGCTCTCCTTCTTAGTCTGTTTGTCTCCCATACACACAAACTCACACAAGACGCAATGAAATGGACTAACCACTTTTATTTATTTTTATTATTTTTTTCACGACGTTTAGAATATAGTCAACACTTAAGTCAGATTTTAAGCTTAATCGTTCTGAAAAGATCTATATTTTTAAAATATAGCTTTGAATACATGTTAAGTATTTTTGAATCAATAAACAAGAGGATTACTAGAAAAAATGTGTTTGAGTTATTTGTACACCTGTATGTAGATACGCTTCATTACGTAGATTTTTCTTCATGCTAAAACATAATATCCATATTAATAAGTATATGCAAAAAGTGTCAAGAATAAATTGCATAGAAATAGATATTTAATTGTATAATTAAGGTAAAATTCAAACAAAATTATAATATCCCTCTCTCTTTCAGCCATAAATATTTCGCAGCAATTTTTAACCGATGGATAGAGCGAGGACGAAGCAAAACCTGATGGTGTTTTCTTATTATATAAGTTCATTAATCCCCGTCCCCTGCAGTATATTGTTAACCTACTTCCACTCACACAAAGATTCCACCAAAATGAAAAAAAAGGAAAAATGAGAAAAATGCGCTCACGTCAAGTCTCCGATAATTCGATATTTTTTAAGCGCATTAACCTAGAGTCCAAACATTCGGGTCAATTAGCCATATCATTTCGCCTGAGCCATGCGCCCGTCTAACTTTCAGAATGACTAGCTTGTCAATCAAAAGGGTTAGCCATCTGCTGTGTCTATGCCTTGTTTCGTGCCATTTTCAGTAAAGATAGGAGCGTATGACGTCTATTACTAAAACCTCTACTCAATTATGCGAAAAAAAATGTACAGAATTCACCCGGTGATGGTAATAATGATGATCTAAAAATGCGTTCATTGAAGTTTATGCGTCTCAACCGGTGATCCCATTACCTTGATGATGAAAGGTCGATGGTTGCAGAAAACCAGGCAAGGCTAATGAAGAACCTGCTTGAACTAGTAAAACCTCTCACTCCTGTAACAAAACAGTAAACGTCCATTATATTTGACCGTCCATAGGCTTAAATAAACAAAAAAACAATCAATAAGCAGTTAAGATGAGCACATAAAAAGGGTCTGATTAACACGCGTTGCGGATGATCTTCGGGAAACAGTCAGCGCGGTCCCTGGTCAGCCTCTCACTCGCGGCTCCAGTATATAACGGCGCCTCGCGAGGACCCGGGCACCGTCCTCGCAAACGCCGCACCATGAAGATCGTGAGTCCCCGTCGGTGCCGCCTCGCATGAATTTGCCCTCACATTATGTACTCGAAACTGATAAATAATGTATATATATATATATATATATATATATATATATATATATATATATATATATATATATATATATATATATATATATATATATATATATATATATATAACTAAACCACTTTTTTCCACTTTTAAAGAGGCTGAAGAAAAGTTCTTTTCCTCCAGATCCTCGCCCTCGCTGTGTTGGCTGTGGCTGCGGCCGAGCAGCTGCCTCGCCAACCCGCCCATCGCCATCGTGCGAAGCAGCCAGGTGAACCCCGACCAGTTCGGCGCCCACAGCTCCGACTTCGAGGCTGCCAATGGCATCGTGTTCCAGTTTTCGGGTTCTGAGGGCGTCGCTGGCGGCTCTAACATGGTTGGCTCTTGGAGGTGAGCGCTACAATTATCTCGCAAATTTTCCTACACGAATCACAGTGAGGAATAATAGAGTTGTGATGATATTAGTGACACTCGTTGTAGCCTGACTTAACGTTTAATAATTTATTTTTCCAGTTATCCTCAGGAAGATGGCACCGTAGCCTCTTTCAAGTTCGTGGCCAACGAGAACGGCTACCAGCCCGAGTCGTCCCTCCTGCCCGTGGCCCCGCCCTTCCCCCACCCCATCCCCCAGTTCGTCCTCGACCAGATCGAGTTCGCACGCCTCGAGGACGAGCGCAAGGCTCGCGAAGGAGCAAGCCCAAGCGTAGACTGTTATAAAGAATGCAGCTTTGTTGTATTTGAATTGTTAATATTTTACTTTTTGAACGATGTATCTAAATCATAAATGATATACATTAATCGGTTGTATTTTCTGAAGTAGCAGCCTTGAATGTCCATTAATTTGGTAAGCATTAGAGAAGGAGAATGAAGGAGAGGCAATGTGATTGAACGAAATATGGCTTCATGAAATTGGATGAATACAGACTTCTGACTAATGAAGAACTTCTCAAAATGACATTGTGCAGATCTCGCTCCAGTTACTTCGCTTGTTTCGCATCTTCATAACTTTCGTCTCCGCATTCTGTCGACTGATTACGTTGCTAAAGATCTTGCATTTCAATTATTTGATTTATATTTTCATCACTTTTTACCATATATCCCTCTCCCGAACTCATTTATTTGTGAGTTATAGTAATCGTATGACCTATCCTCTCGAGTATATTCTCTGATATCACACTTTTACAAATATGATGCATAAATGTATGTAAAAGGCACATATCATGATGAAAGAATACATACATATATGTGATCTCTCTCTCTTTGAATATGTATATATACATACAAACATATATACATATATACACACACACACACTTGTACATGCATATATATATATATATATATATATATATATATATATATATATATATATATATATATATATATACATATATATATTATATACATATATATATATATATATATATATATATATATATATATATATATACATATATTTTTTTTCTTTCTCTTATGCCTTGCCTTGCTCACGGAGACCACATATGATCCCTTTTGGTCCCGGATCACTCATTTCTTGATATATCTTAGTGTTTTGGTCTTCCACGCTGAAGTACTACAAGACGCATAACAGTGTGTCTTTTCCTTATGACCAAACACTACAGCAACAGAAATATGACAATGACACTAGAAGGGACAGTATGTATACTGCCGTTAGGTCTAATGATAATGATTCGCTGGACAAGATGATAAAAATGTATCTGTAATAATGATAACAGTGGTTCTTATTGGAGAAAGGCTGCAGTTGATAATAGTAAAAGCGCATTAATCCCTAAAAGAACAATTATGGCATTCAGTATTATAAATGTACTTACGCTGTTGCTATCGTCACGTCATCTATAAAAATAATTACAATGATAATAACACTAATAATTTGTAATAACGTCTCCTTTATAACAACATACATGCATACATTTATATATGTATATATATCTATATATATGTATGTATATAATATAGATTTATATAAAATATTATATATATATACATATTTATATATATATATATATATATATATATATATATATATATATATATATATATATATATGTATATATATATTATATATACATATACATGTACATATACATAGATATAATATATAATCTATATAATTAATATATATATATACAATATATATATATATATATATATATATATATATATATATATATATATATATATATATATATGCTATACATATATATATGCTATACATATTCATACACACACACCAACACACACACATATATATACATACATATTTGTATATATTCATGTATGTACAGACAGCACACGTATGTGTGTGTGTGTGCGCCGCGCATTTGCATTGTGTAGTGTGTGTGTATATCTATGAGTGTATGTATATATTTTTGTGAGTGTATGTGCAGGTGTGTTTGTGAACCGTTTTCATTACGACAAATGTAAAAAGGTGTGAATGAAATATCTTCACAAATAAACGAGAATGTATTCGAGCCGTTTTAGATCATATTCTTCGTCAGAAACATGTATATCTGACGAAGATACATTCGCAACCGTTTAAATACATCTCTTGTATTATAAAAATATTCCATTCGTATTCATACATTATCTGCATGTTTGTATTATTGTATATATATTCATATATATATAAAATAATATATAATGTATATAATATATATATGTATATATATATATATATATATATATAGGTATACTAACACATACACATATACATCAAACATACACACACACACACACCACACACACACACACAGCACACGCATATATATCATATATATATATATATATACAGCATAGCTTATATATAATATGTATATATATGTATATATATATATATACATATATATATTTATATATACTATATATAAATCTATATATATATATCATGTCGTCCGCATATATATTTATGTGTACATATGCTGTTATGTGTATCATGTTGGCTATAAATACATTTATATATATACATATGTATACGTCTATGTATAAACACACACATATGTATGTAAACATATGCATATATACATACTTACTTTTAAACACATTTCGAAATGAAGTTTCTTTCCTCTTTTGTTCCTGTTTTTTATAACACACACACATGTGGTTATGTGCAAAACATACATATTCACATACACATACATAATATGTGTGTATGAATGTATGTCAACCGCATCTGAAACATATACTATATCTATACTCATATATATACATATATTATATATATATATATATATATATATATATATATATAGTATATATATATATATATATATATATATATATGTGTACCTGATTGTGAATGGTAATTTGTTAGATGTCGTAAGCAGTCGTTTTGTTTTTTTTTTTTTTTTTTTTTTTTTAACAAATTTAATAAAATGAACAACAAAACAATACAAGACAGAAACGCAAGTTATGCTTCATGTCATCTGATTGTGAATGTACATCCTTGTAAACATTGATATAAAAGTAGCAGTAGCATGATCTAAACAAACTCACCTACGTGCGCAATCTTCAAAAAAAACATCGCTCTGATTTTCGGGTCATCCTCTCACCTTGACTATAAAACCCGGCCTCACACGCTGACTGTTGCACTCACCTCTCAACCGTCTCACCATGAAGATCGTGAGTACTTACGCCCTATCAAATTGCACACACATGTCTGTCTGTTTTCGTGAGGGAAGAAGTTGTATAAAATTATTCAAAAGTGAATGCAGAGCATCTTTTCCTCCAGATCCTCGCCCTCGCTGTGTTGGCTGTGGCTGCGGCCGAGCAGCTGCCTCTCGCCAACCCGCCCATCGCCATCGTGCGAAGCAGCCAGGTGAACCCCGACCAGTTCGGCGCCCACAGCTCCGACTTCGAGGCTGCCAATGGCATCGTGTTCCAGTTTTCGGGTTCTGAGGGCATCGCTGGCGGTTCTAACATGGTTGGCTCTTGGAGGTGAGCGCTACAATTATCTCGCAAATTTTCCTACACGAATCACAGTGAGGAATAAGAGTTGTGATGATGTTAGTGACACTCGTTGTAGCCTGACTTAACGTTTAATAATTTCTCTTTTTCCAGTTATCCTCAGGAAGATGGCACCGTAGCCTCTTTCAAGTTCGTGGCCAACGAGAACGGCTACCAGCCCGAGTCGTCCCTCCTGCCCGTGGCCCCCGCCTTCCCCCACCCCATCCCCCAGTTCGTCCTCGACCAGATCGAGTTCGCCCGCCTCGAGGACGAGCGCAAGGCTCGCGAAGGAGCCAAGGCCCAAGCGTAGTCTTTTGGTCTTCGAACGAATTGTTGTTAAGCTTTGACCTTTGAACGATTTTATGTGTAAATAAACAGATGTTATAAAGAAACAATTTATATTTCCCTTAAAAACGATAGAAGCTATAATTGTAAGCATCTAAGTGAGATAATATATAAAGTGGAAAGAAATTGCTCCTAGAAGATAGAGCTGATCGAGACAGGTCAAAAGGTCAAAAGAGGCTGCTCTTTCCTGTCTGCTCACCGGTTTGTGATGGCGATTTTTGTCGGCTGCTCGCTCTGCCTGGGTCTTCAGTTCCATCCGTTCTGTAGAGTGGTGCTTTCATCCAGCAACTCCACTAAGTCTCAATCTATGTATTTTCAGATGCTTCCCGCATGACATCTGATACTTGAATGCACGAATATTTAAGAAATTAAAGGTTTCTCTGTGCTTATACATTTGGAACGTTTGATATTGGCATGTATGTGCCTCCGGGTATGGGATAATTTGTATTTGGGAAATGGACACACGGATTCATATCGTATACAAAATGCGTATATATATATATATATATATATATATATATATATATATATATATATATATACATTTTTTCATTCACTGTATCCAATATATCTTAGAATGATTTCTAATCATATACAAACTACGATTTATTTATAATTTGTTACAGTTAAATCTAATGAGGGAACATGAATTTAACAATCTTGAGTCATAGGGCGGATTGAATTCATTCCTCTATTTATTATGTGCTAATATACACTGGACATAGGCATTTTTAACCATAAGCATTTTATTCTATAAATAAATGATAATAAACAGGTGGCATATCATCATATAATTCTTAGGAATGAATATAATAATAATAATAATAAAAATCTCTACTATTTCAACTCACATCTAAAGTGAACTCTATACCCTTCCTTGACCTACTAATTATAAATAAGTAACCATTAACGTAAACAAAATAAAAACATGTATGAGACGGGACTGAGATCTTCTCCTCTTCTACTAGTACCATTGCTTTACTTGCACATAAGCTAATCATTCCCTTCCTTTTCATCTTCACAATTTCATAACCTTAATAAATAATTCCACTCTCAATCTATTCCTTGATACTGCCGGGACTGTTTCCTTCCACGAATTCCGTTTCTGTATTCACGGCCTAATAAAAAAAAAAAAAAACTAAATAGATAACTAAAATGTTCCCTAAAAACATGGCATCATGGTGTTTTGTTTTCACAAATTTTCTTCTCTTTGTGATCGAGGCGGAAGCCAAGACTCGTCTGACGGGAAGCCATTAAAGTAACGATCTTATTGCTTTCCTATGTGAGCGTGTGTATATGTGAGCACTATCGCTATGCTTCAAAGCAATATATTGGGTCACCTAGATAACATCTTTAAGGAACTCAAATTATTGAAGCCCTACAACCCTGGAGCAATTTGAGGATTTTCCTCTGGGTGAGAATCAGTTAACTGCCTGTGACGGAAACCGGATGTCCGTGGGACCGCTTCGGCACATATCGCCGAATATCTTTACAACAGAGATTCTTCTTATAGGATCCTTTGCCTAAAATCCTGCATACCGTTCATTGCGATTTAGCAAGATCAGCCGTTTTTCGGAATTCTGCTGACAATCTGAAACACTAATATGAAACCTGCAAGGAGATATAATTCACAAACTCATTTTAAAGCTCATATTAATGATGAGCAAGATAATAAAGATTAGTGTATATCTATATATATGTATATATATATGGAAGAAAAACCCACAATGCACAAACTAGATTTATTGATGAAAGTGAGACAACAGTTTCGGAATCGTCCTCGATTCCATCTTCGGGTCTGAGAGGGAGACCCGAAGATGGAATCGAGGACGATTCCGAAACTGTTGTCTCACTTTCATCAAAAATCTAGTTTGTGCATTGTGGGTTTTTCTTCCATGTATGTATATATATATATATTAGGGAATTACGGAGATGATAAGGACAATGCTGATAGTAATAATATAATTATTATCAGTATATCAGGAGCAATGATAACAGTAATTTGCAGTAATTTCTATTGTACTGTACATCACATGACTCACGTGTGACTGTTTCTCATATATATATATATATATATATATATATATATATATATATATATATATATATATATTCATATTTATATACATCACATACACACATATAAAATATATATGGAAGAAAAACCCACAATGTACAAACTAGATTTATTGATGAAAGTGAGACAACAGTATATATACACACGCATAAAATATATACGTATATATGTATTTACCCACCAACACATACATACACTCTCTCACATACACACACAAATACAGACACACATGCACACACATATATACAGACTTATATTTATATGCATGTGTTCAGTATAAATAAAGATCCATTATATATATATATACATACTCACATATATATATACACACACATATATATGTATACACACATATATTCATGTATGTTTGTTTGTATGTCTGTGTATAGTTATATATAGATAAGTATTTATTTGTATACATACACATACGTGTGCATTGCATACATATGGAATGAATATGTATATATACCATTTTTTTCTATCTATATATGTATGTGTGTATCTATGTGTTAATATGAATGCACATACATTCACACACACACACACATATGTGTGTGTGCATGTGCATATATAAATATTTATTTACATATATATATGTAGATATATATACACACAAAAACACACGAAATATATATATATATATATATATATATATATATATATAATATATATATATAATATTTATCGATCATGTGGCACTAAGGTACTAAGGTACCTCTCAGACCTTGCAGTATCTTAATCAGTTCATGAACACGAAAAGCACAATGGCAATTATAAACAAACGCTTACTCTTATCTAGATCATATGAAAACCAACACACACACCGCACGAACGGGGCAATTCTATAGAACATTCTCTGACCTGTGACTATAAAACCTGGCCTCACACGCTGAGCGTCACACTCACCTCCCAACCGTCCCACCATGAAGACCGTGAGTACACATATGCAGGCAGTCGCTGATTATTTAGCTTGAACTTTATTTATGGAAACTCAAATGTGTGCACACACACACACACACACACACAAACACACACACACACACACACACACACACACACACACACATATAATATATATATATATATATATATATATATATATATATATATATATATTGTGTGTGTGTGTGTGTATGAAGTCTTAGTAAACCTGGCACCTAAAGGCAAACTGAAGACGATACCTTTTCCTCCAGATCCTCGCCCTCGCTGTGTTGGCTGTGGCTGCGGCCGAGCAGCTGCCTCTCGCCAACCCGCCCATCGCCATCGTGCGAAGCAGCCAGGTGAACCCCGACCAGTTCGGCGCCCACAGCTCCGACTTCGAGGCTGCCAATGGCATCGTGTTCCAGTTTTCGGGTTCTGAGGGCGTCGCTGGCGGTTCTAACATGGTTGGCTCTTGGAGGTGAGCGCTACAATTATCTCGCAAATTTTCCTACACGAATTACAGTGAGGAATAATAGAGTTGTGATGATATTAGTGACACTCGTTGTAGCCTGACTTAACGTTTAATAATTTCTCTTTTTCCAGTTATCCTCAGGAAGATGGCACCGTAGCCTCTTTCAAGTTCGTGGCCAACGAGAACGGCTTCCAGCCCGAGTCGTCCCTCCTGCCCGTGGCCCCGCCTTCCCCCACCCCATCCCCCAGTTCGTCCTCGACCAGATCGAGTTCGCCCGCCTCGAGGACGAGCGCAAGGCTCGCGAAGGAGCCAAGGCCCAAGCGTAGTCTTTTGGTCTTCGAACGAATTGTTGTTAAGCTTTGACCATTGAACGATTTTATGTGTAAATAAACAGATGTTATAAAGAAACAATTTATATTTCATTTAAAAACGACAAAAACTATAATTGTAAGCATCTAAGTGAGATAATATATAAAGTGGAAAGAAATTGCTCCTGGAAGATAGAGCTGATCGAGACAGGTCAAAAGGTCAAAAGAGGCTGTTCTTTCCTGTCTGCTCACCGGTTTGTGATGGCGATTTTTGTATTCAGTTCCATCCGTTCTGTAGAGTGGTGCTTTCATCCAGCAACTCCTATAAGTCTCAATCTATGTATTTTCAGATGCTTCCCGCATGACATCTGATACTTGAATGTATGAATATTTAAGAAATTAAAGGTTTCCTTGTGCTTATACATTTGGAACGTTTGATATTGGCATGTATGTGCCTCCGGGTAAGGATAATTTGTATTTGAGAAATGGACACACGGATTCATATCGTATATAAAATGCTTATACATACATATATTATATATATAATATATATATATATATATATATATATACACATGTCATATAAATTTTTTCATTCACGGTATCCAATATATCTTAAAATGATTTCTTATCATATACAAACTACAATATATTTATAATTTGTTACTGTTAAATCTAATGAGGGAGCATGAATTTAACAATCTTAGACTCATAGGGTGGATTGAATTAATTCCTGTTTATTATGTGCCAAATATACAATGGACATAGACATTTTTAACCACTAGCATTTTATTCTATAAATAAATAATGATAAACAGGTGGCATATCATTATATGAATCTTAGGAATGAATATAATATAAACAAAAAATATTCTCTACTAATTCAACTCACATCTAAAGTGAACTCTATACCCTTCCTTTATCTACTAATCATAAATCAGTTGCCATTAACGTAAACAAAATAAAAACATATATGAGACGAGACTGAGATCTTCTCCCCTTTCTACTAGTATCTTCTCATTGCTTTACTTGCACATTAGCTAATCATTCCCTTCCTTTTCATCTTCATAAATTCATAACCTTAATAAATAATTCCACTCTCAATTATTCCTTGATACTGCCGGGACTGTTTCCTTCCACGAATTCCGTTTCTGTATTCACGGCCCAATAAAATAACTAAATAGATAACTAAAATGTTCCCTAAAAACATGGCATCATGGTGTTTTGTTTTCACAAATTTTCTTCTCTTTGTGTTCGGGGGCGGA